CTTGAAGATAAACAAGTGACCATCTAGCTCAGAAGCAACAAAGCCCACATGGAAAAAGCACACCAGCCTGTGTGATCATGAGGTGTCAATGGGATCAGGTACCAGATATCTAAGACCCAGAACAAAATCATACCCAAGGTGAATGGAGGGTGGTGGTGCATGGAGTGGAGACCCAATACCATCTGTAGACAATTGGACATCCCCCTACAGAGGGGTCACAGGGAAGAGATGAGCCAGTCAAGGGTGCAGTATAGCATCGATGAAATACACAACTTTCCTCTAGTTCTTTGATACTTCCTTCCCTCCACTATCATGACCTTAATTCTACCTTACAAATTGGATTAGACCAGATCATGCACACTGCTACAGACAAGAGCCTGCAGCACAGGAATCCAGGATAGATAAAACCCCTAAGGCCAACAATGAGAGTAGCGATACCAGGAGGATTAGAGGAGGGTGGGGGAAGAAGGGAGGAACCGATCACTAGGATCAATATTGATTCCCCCTCCCAGGGGAAAGAATAATGGAAAAGTGGGTGAGGGGTGAAGGAGGAGGATGTAAGATATGAAAATAATAATCTATAACTTATCAAGAGTTCGTGAGGGAGGGTGTGTCGGGGAGGGAGGGTGAAAATGGGGAGCTGATATCAGGGGCTCAAGTTGGAAGAGAATGCTTTGAAATGATGATGGCAGCATATGTGCAAATGTGCCTGACACACTGGATGAATGTATGGATTGTGATAAGAAATGTAAGAGCCCCCAATAAAAGTATTTAATAAAAAAATTGAACAGGAGCATTAATATGACAATTTTGTGAATGAAAGGTAGCCTGGGAATATGGGAGAAATCAAAGTCAGTACAACTGCTATGTTGCCAATGTAGTGGTTCAACATAATAGATTTTGCCCATATGTTATTTTAAAAATTTTCAGCTCACAAGAATGATGAGATGATGAAATTGAAACAATTTTAAAAAGAAAAAATAAGGCAATTTTTTTGAAGCCCGTAGTCAATGGTAGAGCAACTACCCATTAAAAGACCAACTGACATGGAATAAACATTAAGAAATAAGAGCATAGCAAGCATTTATGTCAAGATCAAAATGTTCTAAGACTAATTACCTAGCTGGCTATTTTTAAAAAAATAAGCTACGAATCAATGTGGTTGTAAAAATGACATGGTAGAGGCATGTGACTTTTTCTCATTTCAGAGTTGGGGAGAAAACTATTATCAGCATCCACCATCCAAAGCTGATTTCCTGAGGTGGAGGTCAAATATGCCTCCAACCTTTTTCACCCATTCTAACACCAACTCTCTCTCCCGTGGCACTCTCCACTTCTCTGCCACCTTTGATATTTTGTGGTGATGGCCACAAATAAAGGAGCCCTGATGGCATAGTGGTTGCTCACTGGGCTGCTAACCTCAAGGTCAGCATTTCAAAACCACCAGCCACTCCCTGGGAGAAAGACGGACTTGTCCCTTAAGAGCAGTGGTTCTGTTCCGCCCTATGGGCCCCAGGGGGGCCCTGTGTCCCCAGGCAGGGACTTCCGCTTCTAGGAGTCCGTAGTTCCTGGTCCTTCGCCAGAGTCCCCGGGGCCCAGCGGCTGTGGATGGCAGAAGCCCAGAGTGCGATTGGCCAGCTGCAGGAGCAGAAGAAAGGTCTCTTGATTGCCATCAGCGCCTCTGTGGATAAAATTATCTCGCACTTTGGGGCGGCCAGGAACTTGGTTCAGAAGGCTCAGTTAGGGGACAGCAGCCTGAACCCCGATGTGGGGCACCTGGTGCTGACCACCCTCTGCCCTGCTCTCCACGCCCTGGTAGCCCATGGGCTGAATGAAGCCTTTCCGGAAGGACCTCATTACCGGCCAGCGCAGGAGCAGCCCCTGGAGCGTGGTGGAGGCATCTGTGAAACCAGGTGCCAGCACACGCTCCCTCGGAGCCCTATACGGCCAGGTCAGCCGCCTGGCCCCGCGGAGCAGTAGCCGCAGCCGCTTCCACGCCTTCATCCTGGGCCTCCTCAACACTAAACAATTGGAAGTGTGGTTGTCCAGTCTGCAGGAAGATGCAGGTCTGCTGCCCCTCCTGTACCTGCCCACGGGATTCTTGGCCCGGGGCAGCTGCCCCGCCCTGTCCACGGAGCTGCTGCTCCTGCTGGTGCTCACCTTCCACCTGGACTTGCTCTTTGAGCACCACCACCACCTGCCCCTGGGCCCGCCGCCAGCCCTGCAGCAGACGGTGCAGGCCCTGCTGCACTGGGGGAGCCGCTGGCCCAGAGCCTTCGGGGGCCTCTGGGGAGGCCCCCCCAGGCCCTGAAGCTGCCCTGGCCTCTGAAACCCTTACAAGCCCTCCCACACCAGGCAGCTGGTGGGAGCAGCTGACCCTGGCCTCCCGAGTCTATGCCTCTGGGGACACTGAGGGTGTTCCCCTTCCCCGGTGGGGACCCAGGCATCATGGGACTGCCTTTGAGGGCACAGCAGAGAGACCCCTGCCCGCAGAGGCGGTGGGCCCATGTAGGGCCGTGTGGCTGGGCAAACTGTTCGGAGCTCCTGCAAGCTCCGTGGAGGCTGAAAGTGGGACCCTAAAGTCCAGGAGACCATCCAGTTGGCTGCCCCCGCAGTGAGTGTGCTGGCCCTGGTGAGGCGGGGGCCACCTCCTGAGCCTTCCTCTCCTCCTGAGGAGCTTGAGACGTCAGCCCTCAGCGTAGTGCAGCCCCACGGGGCAGTCCGGACGCTCTGTGGCCACCCTGCCGCAAGAACGGACCACCTGAGCTTCCAGCGTGGGGAGGTGCAGCGTGTCCTCATCACGGTGGACGAAGACTGGCTCCGCTGTGGGCGGGAAGGAGTGGAGGGGCTGGTGCCCGTGGGCTATACCTCTCTCGTTCTGCAGCCCTGGGACCCTTCCCTGCACACGTGTCCCCTCCCTGTCACCTGGGCCTGGAATGGCCCACGATCACTAATCCACGTAAAACCAATCATCCCAGAAGCAAACCGCTTCTTGCCTCCCTCATCCGTTTCTGATATTTCAAGTCCACTCTCCTATCAGGTGACATGCGCCCTTCTCCCCGAGATGTACAGAGGAATCCCCTCCATGGAACCTCTTCCCCATCTCCACAAGGGACTGTCTGCAGAATGGACCGCTCGCCCTCTCCCTGGTCCTCTTTCAGTGGACTGTGCCAGTACAGTATATGCCCTGGCTCCCGACTGCTTTCCTGTATGTATGGAGTCTGCCCCACCCCACCCTGCGCGAATTTATTGGCCACTCGGGATGTTTGGTGCCTGAAGCATGCATATCCCCGGGGCTGGGCCTGTGGTGTTGGTCTGTTTCCTTCCTCATTTGTCCCAATAAAGTGTGGGAGTTGGGGGGAAAAAAGAGCAGTGGTTCTCAACCTTCCTCATGCCACGACCCTTTAATACAGTTCCTCATGTTGTGGTGACCCCCAACCATAACATTATTTTCGTTGCTACTTCATAACTGCAATTTTGCTACTGGTATGAATTGGGCGACCCCTGTGAAAAGGTCATTTGACCCCCAAAAGGGTCGCAACCCACAGGTTGAGAACCGCTGGCCTAGATGGTCTCAGAGAACAAAGAGTGATTTTCAAGCCTTGAGAATTAATGCAAATTAGTCTGCTGGGTTTTTTTCACTGGCTTGGTACCCATTGTCCCTTCTTCCCCATCACTTTCTTCCATTCGTAATGCACATGTCCACTGGTTCCACCATTGCACTTTGGAAGCAGATGACTTGTTTTCTAGATTCATAGATGAATAGCTATTTTTCCAGGGAATGTAATTTGGACATGTGGCAAGGACATGAATTTTGGGGAACAAAAGTATAGAATGTCATGGAAGGAACTGAGCCCACCTCCCACCCCCCTACCCCAATATGTCAACCTGAATGGTGATTCTCAGTGGTTTGTCTGTTAGGTAATCATCTCTCATGATGTGATCAACTAATCTGTTGTAAGGGATTTAGAATGGGACCCTTACTAAGGTCACAACCATGATCCGATAAGAGTTTCCCTGGGGTGTGGCGGCATCATCTTTTATCTTGCCGGAGATTAGAAGAGAGAAGCAAACAGACAGAAGGGAACCTATTACCAAGAAACAGGCAGGGTCCCTACACTGAGAACCTTCTAGACTCAGAGAAACATTGATGCCTAGGCACATGGAGGTCTCCAAAGGATACCAAGCCCACAGATGTTGAAAAGACAGACGGCTCTTCCCCCAGTGTTATCACAGGAAGTCTTCCCTTAGAACCGGCATTCTGAATTTGGACTTCCAGTTTCCTAAACTGTGAGAGAATAAATGTCTGTCTGAGAAAGCCATCCACCTGAATTTCTGTTACAGCAGCACTGCATCACTAAGCCTGAGTGAATAGAGGAGAGGGGTTGTTGTTGTTGTTTTCCTTTGTCAAGATTAAAGTTTATCAGGTTATGAGGAACTGTTAGCTTTCTTTGTCTAAGTTTGTATTTGTTTCATTTCCTGCACAATAGTGCAGTTTTGCCAATGCAATGACAAATTCCAGTATGGGCTGACACAAATGACTTAATATCATCACTGCTGTGATAAAAATCACACAAACGGGGCGGCTTATCAGAACATAATCCTAAGAATACAGTCTGGGGCTAGAAGTCTGAATTCAGGGTGCCGTCGGGACCAGGCTTTCCTGGAAGACTGTTGGAAAGGGGAGCATCCTTTCTTGTCTTTCCCAACCTCGGGGAGCTCCACGTGTCCCTCTGCCTCCGAGAGCAGATGCGGTCTTCCCTGTTTCCCGCTCTGCTCTCTCACTGGGTACCCTTCCGACTGGATTAGGGACCACCCCCCCACCTCCGCCGACTCTGATCTGACCTCTTGTTCGCTGATGACATTTTCAAGGACCCTCTTTCCAAAAAAGGCCATAGTCACAAGTAGGACACATTAATAGTCAGCATTTTATTGGAAATATGCCCCATCCCTAACAGCGAATAACAGGACAAAGTTCTTGGGTGGTTCCTCTAACTTTTTTGACCTGGGGGGGCGGGTCGTGGAGTGGGCATTTCTTAAATTAAATGGAGATACTAATGAAATAACATGCGAAATAAAGCCTTTGATAAGCAGTGAAGTCTGTATAAATGGGAAGGTTGTCGTTATTATTCACCTTGAGGTAGCTAAGGAACCAGTTGAGTGGTCTGAAACTACCGACCTGGCTGCCTGTCCTTTAGAAAAAGACATTCCATTATCCAGGGACTGGGACCTTTCCACAATTCCCTTGACCAATTGCGTCCCCCACAACACCCCACCCCTGCCCCTTTATTACTGCACTTGGGTTCTCCCAGGGACATCCAAAAGTTTCCCCAGTTTCTAGAAGACTACAGTTAAATTCAATAGAAATTAGTCTGTCATATAGGAGGCATAGTGGTTCCCCGTGGGTCTGTGATCCGCCTTGAGGTAGCAGTTTGAAACCACCAGCTAGCTGCTTGGCGGGAGAAGGACGGGGCTTCTACCCCCACACTTAGTTGCAGTCTCAGAAACTCAAGGGGCTGTTCTACGCTGTGCTACAGGGGCTGCGAGGCAGCGTGGACCCGATGACAGTGAGTTTTAGACACTGAGTTGAGACGGGGAGGAGTCTTGGCGGTTGCACACTGGGCTGTCAGAGCTGGGCTGCTTGCTGGAGTGAGGCTCTTGTTTGGGAAAGGAGCCTTGATGGGGAGCTGGTTAAGCACTGGGGTGCGATCCACAAGGTCAGCGATTCATGAACCTCCAGCAGCTCCGTGGGAGAAAGACGGGACTTTCTGGTCCTGTCAACAGTTATGGTCTCCCAAACTCACAGTGGCTGGTCTACCCTGTCCTCTGGGGTCGCTGTGAGTCGGCATCAACTTTATTGACAGTGAGTTTGTTGTTGGAGAAGTCCGAACTCTGCTACATGAGTACTCTGAGGTACTACATGAGGGAGAGGTTAGCAGCATGTCTGTTTTACACCCAAGAGTGGGGATTCAGGCAGATCCTGTGGACACGGTCCTCAGAGAGTGCCACCTGTGTTCCAGGAGCTGCATTCAGCCATTCCTTCAGTGGTGACTGGAGGTGGCTGCCGGGAGCTGCCAGGAGATGGTTCCATGTCTTAGAGACAGACAGGCTGCCGTCGTTTGATACTAGCAGGAAGGAAAAATGAACCAAGAGGTATAATTGAAAACCTCCTTCCTTGGGCTGGTGCTGGTGGGAGTGAATGGAAGGGTTTGAATGGAACCATCTCTAGCATAGAACAAAAGGCACGGATTGGAAATAAAACCTCCTATCTGCCTCAAACAAGAGAGACTTTCAATGTCAAGATAATCGAGAACTGGATGCGGGGAAGTAGAACGCCCTCTTGGAAAGAAGGTTCAATCTGTAAGATCAGGCTGGAGCTTTAGCCTCGGATCCATTTATCTAAACCCACCATAGTAACAATTTAACTACATCACATGGCTGAGAGGAGGATCAAAGAATGAATATATAAAATGGTGTTTTTTGACCTCTAGAGCCTTCTACCAGGGTCCCTCCGGCACATTGCTCTTCCTTCTTCCTCTTCTTTCTGTACTTCTCTTCCCACCCTCTTCCTCTCTTCTCCGATCTCCTGGAACTGCCTTCCCTCTCTCCCTTCTCCTCCTCGGTCCCCAGCTCACCGTTATCACAGATAGAAACTGAAAGGGCATCTTGCAAAGTAATGCCATGTATATGTATATATCTGCATCTTCTCTCATGCTAAGTGTGCTTTCAAGGCTTATTAGCATGAATGATTAAGTTAGTGTGTTACCCGAAGGTTGAATGACACGAATTATGCACTTCATAGGATCCAAACGCACAGCTCTACACTCATGCGCAGTTTTGATACACTGCCTTAAATTCAATCTCTTTACTGCTGCCAGCAATTCTTACCTAATTAGTAGGCTGTACATGCAGGTAACTCGGTGGCAGGGCTTTGAGGCTATTCTAATTGATGATCAGGAAAAGAACGGTAGTTTTTTAAAAAAAAGAAATATGTGTCTCTGCCAGGTTGATAACGAAAAGAATGATAGGAGACTTTTGCTTAGCTATATTATCAAATGTAGCTTATTCAACTGTGTCATTGATACCCGGGAGGGGTTGAGTGTTTTCAATGGGTGCAGTCAAACAGAGGGCTTCCATAGAGGGGTTGCTGGGCATGACATCTTTTCTCCTATACACAGCGGCTGGTCATTGCGCTGCCTTGGTCATCCCCACGGTCCAGTGTATTTACTTTCTGTTGCTGCTGCAACAAATTACCACATACTTGAACAGCACAAATGTATGATTTTATAGTTCCTTAGGTCAAAAGTCGGCCCCAGGGGTCGCTGGGCTCAAACAAAGGTATTGGTAGGGCCGTGCTCCTTCCTGGAGGCTCTAGGTGAACTGCTAGAGGCTGTAAAGGAATTGCCTAGTGACTGGAGGCCGCTCACAGTCTTTGGCCCCTTGTGTCTTCAAAGACAATAGACCAAGCCATGTTCCGTCTCTCACGGTCTGATTCTGAGAACGGTTGCTTCACTTTAAGGACTCCCATGATTAGACCAGTCTTAGAGAATCTCTCCCTCCTTAACCTGCATCATATCTGCACAGTTGCTTTTGCCAGGTCAGTAATGTAATGTATTCCCAGGGTTGGAGCATGGACATCTTGGGGGACCATTCATTCTGTTTATCGCAACTGCCAACACCTGCTAATCACATTCATATTTAGCTGTTGGAAATAGAGTACTTTTCTTTTTAAAAGATTCCCATCCTCTCTTTTTTTTTTAACAATTCTTAAAAAAAAATTTTTTTTTTGGTATAGGCTTCCTGAATTTTTTCTGTTCTTCATTTCATCCTCTCAAAGTATGTTTCTGTCAGTGGTCAATTCCTCATGGATTCCTCCCCTCTCTTGGCCCTATTTCTCTTGTTAGGAGGTCAGTCCTGATCCTCCAACCCTAGCTCCTCCCTTTATATTCCAGATGCCCACTTTCTTCCCCTTCCCAGCTACCTCGCCACTCCTCGGCTACCCTTCTCATCTCCCCCATGCCTGTCCCGAGACTCCCATTTCCTGTCTGTCGCAGAAATAGGTCTGAAAAGGAAGGAGATGGACTAAAGTCAGCCTTCTCCACAGAGAGCACATGAATCCCACAATTTTTCACGCTAGGTGGTAGGATGTAGGACTTCCATCAGAAACACATTTGTCAGATGACTGCAGTTAGCCCTGTGAGGAAGGACTAGAGGTAAAAGATGATATTCTACATGGTTAATCTCATTGCTGATCAGTCCAATCTGTGTGTCTAGCTG